TCTTTCCTTGCCTTTAAATATAGTGCATAAATTGAAAAGTACATGCATTAAGAAGCTTCCCTCCATATTGAACACATCTTCCATGCAAGCAACATAATAAGTTTTACATGAGAACACAATCCTAATTGTACAAGCTAAACACACAATTAGGGACCATGCACAACAAACACCAAATTGTTAATAACAAACAGAAAAAATCAAGGAGATAAGGCCCTTGCAATTTGAACTCAAGATACTAGCTCTAAGACCATGTTTTGGACCAATTATCAAAACTTATACAAGTGACAAAATTTTAGCATTTTATATTATAACAAATAACATGGTCCAAAACTTATTGTATCTCCAATTCATCCAATATTGCGTAAATTCAAAAGACAACGTTTAATGGAAAGGCAGTGATAACTTTTCTAAGAATGAAAAGTGGCCTATACAAACAAAACACAAGTCACACACAAATATTAAGCTGCCGATTTTCACTCATTCCAGATAAGCAAAAGGCCTTGCTGCCATCAAGCAGTTGCTGTTTCAAAAGCCCCTTTCTTGTAAAAGCATCATGAAGAACTTATAAGCCGTCTACATAATCGCCTATGAGATGTTTTACCAAATTCAGCATAAGATCTCAGTATTAACAGAAATCAGTAGTTAATTATGGCCATATGACATGGAACTAGGAAAAACAGCTTGAGATGTAGATTTCTGTGTTTCTGTATGCTCATTTTTCCTGAGAAAAAACTGTACTTTTGCATGATCATGACAAACTCAAACCTGAACAATGCTTTCAACTTATGAGCTGTAGAAAAATAATACTGCTCAAGAAGTCAATCAAATGCTATAATAGTAGAAGCTGTAGGGAGGTCATTGGACAACTGCCAAAAAGAAGGATTGCATTCAAACATCACTTATCATTAGAAAATTGGTTACAAGACACTTTACCAACATCACTTATTATTACCAAATTGGTTACAGAATACTTTACCAACATCCCTTACCAACACTACCAGCATCATTTGACCAAAGACTGTTCAGTCCTAAACCATCAAACTAAGTGCATCAAATAAGGATATCCTCTATAGGCAGGCATGCAGGATCAAGTATTTCAACAAGATACAACAAAAAACATGTTGGCAGATTCTTATTCTATAAGACTTAATGAGAAACGTTAATTGTCTCTCAGCTTAATCTTTCTTAGGTGTATCCTGCCCATGAATTGAAAGAAACAGAAGGAAGAAAAAGATCTCATCTTACAGATATATATATCCTGAGTGCTTATAGTTTTTGTTACACCAGAATCTGTTTCCATTTCTTCTGACAGTGGCAGACATTTCCCCGATTCCCTACAAGGAAATAGAACAAATGAAATTATGCACTGAACAAAAGTGACCGCTTTAATAACAAATACCTTGACACTTGTGTTCCAATTATTTCAGTCTCAAAAAATATGTCTCAGTTTTGTAACTTCAACTATAACTTTTAAGCTCATGAAAGCACGCTTTCCTTGAACTAGATAGCAGTATTGGCAGAACAAAAGCAAGTATTAACCATGAATTTTATGCCTAAATCTATAGAAGAAGAGAAGAACGTCACTCCTCAGCTTCTGCTGATCTTCTCTTCCAAAAAATAGTATGTAGTTATTAAGCTAATCAAAAACCATGTTTCAACCCCAGAAGTGAGGAAAGAGATTTTCCCTTTAAAATGCTATAGAACTTAGAAAAAACAAATGGCAACTTGGAGAAAGGAGAGGTTAAAAAAGAATGAGCATGCTACATACAATGCATGTCCAAATTCAAATTTTCACTTGTCCTCTGAAAATATGA